AAACAAACTAGTAGGCAATAAAACTACAACACCGTTTAGGGGAACTAAGAGCCAACTAAAAATAGGGTAGGATATCAACCGAGTGGAGTTTTTAAAAAGCACGAAACACTGTTACATCTAACTAATCACTGGCAATGCCTCCCACTGATCTTTCCTTTCTTTCCTCGGCAGGTCTACATTATTCATTTCGTCACTTTTTAGACTGAAAAGGTGTGCAAAAATTCCTTTCAAAGTTCTTTTTCGCTTTCATAAATTGTGTTTTCCTACTGGTACCTCCCTTTGAATCTCTTATTCGTTATTTGTATTCATCCGCTCTAATCTTCCTCTTAACTGTATTTTGTAACCGCGCACGTATCCATGTCCATAGACCATATCATTTTATGCTAATTGCTTGGCGGATGGCTTTTGTCTTTCTTTTGACAATTTCATGCGGCGCTATAATTATTCATTCGTTTTTTGTATCTTTTGACTTATATTTTCACGAGTTGTTTTAAAAGATTTCGGCCACAGTCGGGCGTTTCAGGCAGTGCTGCCTCTATTACGGCAAGTGTGCTGAAATTTAGTCAACTGTTGTATGGAGTCTGCTGATAATGCGCACAAACGTTCATCTTTCATTACTAATAACTGCGCCATCGACTTAGCAATTTGCTCTTTGCTGAAATGGGACCGATTATTTTACTGACATCCCATGCATAGAAAAGATTTAAATTAAGAAATCACTGTCGAGGAATGAGGAGATGTTTACTACAGGCATCAAAAAATATGCACTTTTTGCCGCGTTGTCATAGTCACAATGCGTTTTTCGTTTGGGTATGTGCACAGAGCGCACTGTCGCGTATCACAGTCGGTTCACCCGCTAACACAAGCTGTTGGAAAACCGCTGTTGATTATGCCAATGAAATATATATGCACTGGCAGACAATTCATTTAACGGATAGGCGATTGCTTAATATGGTATACTAATGAATGCAGACTGAATATCTGGCGGACTGGAACGAGGTCGCCAAAAGAGTGTGAAACCTAGGGAACAGCTGTTCTTCAGTGGCGTCAATACGCTCTGTTCATGTCTAATTCCAAAGGATGCAGACAGCAAATTATTCTCCCGCCCCTCAATACAACTTGTAACCACCGTAATTCACCGTATTGAAGGCTTTCAGGATGGACCGAATAAATTACTCAAACGAATAGGAAGATCGGTCGAGACAGCTAAAAATTGTCCTTTAGAAGCGAAAGCAAGCGCAGTCACAGTTGACACGGAAATCCGTACTCCGAAAGTTCACCCTGCAGTTTTTTTCTGCGGGAATTTTAACCTGCGCAGATGGAGACGTGGAGAGAGCTCAAAGCGGAAATCATCAAATGGTCAAGCTTGAGCGAGAAAGAACTGAACAAAATGAGCTGGCACACTATAAATGTTCAGAGGCCACTCCTTTGGAGAAGGCCGATAACTCTAACAGCTTGGACATGGTGGACGCATCCCATTACAATCAGCCCCGAATGGCTATTATGTTTAATCCCATAAACTGGACAGACTCCAGTAAACCGGAGTTGCTCAGGCCAAATTAAAACTTCTGTATGGCAGTGCTCAAATTTTCGTTTCGGAAATCGGCGAACTCAAAGCGATATTTTCATAGCGAAACCTCGAAGTAATTGCCATAAAGGAAACATGACTTAGAGTCGGAATCGCGGATGCCGAAATTTCGATGCAGGGTTATCGGCTCTTTCGCAGAGGCCGTCAAAATCGACAGGGCGGTGAGGAAGTCGTAAATGTACGGACAGGAACTTCGGTAGCTAAACGGGTCCACACCCTTCTTCTCGAATATGAGCTCGTCTGGGCAAAAATAGAGAAGCGCAACGCACAAAACTTTGAATTCCTGACTGTTTACGGACCACCAAACCTTCCGAGCGCAACTGATGAGTCACTCCTCAATTTTCTCAAGGAAGTAGCTAGACACTAAGAAGCTCTTGTTGCTGGGAATTTCAATAAGCCTGCAATACAGTGGAAAGTTTGGCAGTGGGTGGTACGTTCTTCGCTCAAAGCCAGAAGAGTAGGGGAGGCCAGCGAAATATATGTAAGGCAGATTTTAACATGTCGCAGAACGAATTGGTGTCCGTGAATTGAGATCGTTTGCTCAAGGGACGAGGAACGGACTCTCTGGCGCGGAGGTACTATCAGAGACTGTTGAACCCCTTAAATGCAGACTAGACGCTCATTTGCTGAGAGACTACTGTACATATACTCATGATTATGTCCGCACAATTGTTCCGTGAACATACAGAAAACGACTAGTTAATCTGCCTGGTTAACTAGGGACCACAATAGACCGTTAGAGAAGAAAAGTAAAACATGCACGATATACAGGGAAACTGGATCGCAAGTGAACATCATGGGGTTCCGTCGTCAACAAAATGCAGACAAAAAATTGCATCCGTCAGGCAACGAAGGAATATGAATTCAGAATTATCCGACAGGCTGAACAAAAGCCCAAGATTTAATACTGCTGTATT